CTGAATTTATTCCTCAGGTGTCCATCTTAGGGTTTGTCTATAGGGCAAGTTATTGTTCAGCAAGCCCGGGTTTGGATTTACAGTGCACTAGCTTGCTATGCAGTATTGTGCTGTGTAGACGCTTTGATCGCGCACTGAAGGCCCAGAGTGCGGTTCTGCTAAACCCTTTGCTCATGTGGTTGCCTGAATCACAAACGAGCCAAATGGAAAGTTTGAAGGCTTTACTGTAATTTGTGAGTCTGATTTTGTCAACACTTGTTCCTTGTACTGAGGCTACAGTTTAAAATCTATACAGACCTCCCAGATCAGTGTTTCTTAAACTGTGTCCTGTGGCACACTGGTGTGTCGCGAGGCAGTCGGAGGTGTGCCGTGGAGAACAACAGAGTTCAAAATTGCCACCCTTAAAGGGACAGGCAACTTTTTTCCCCCCTCAATAACTTTCCCCAGACCCTATTTTTTTATTTGTTTATTAATTTTTTTCTTTGATAGCTTTTCCCTGGCCTCTTTTGTTTTTTGGGGTTTTTTTGCTCAACAAAAAGTCCTTGGGGTTCCTCATAAAAAAAATTATTGTTTGGTGTTCCTCCATCTTAAAAAGTTTAAGCAACACTGTCCCAGATCATCACATCATTGCATAGTCTGTTGGCCCATTTATTCAAGGGAGCAGAATTTTTTAAAATATACATGTTTTGGGGATTTCAAGTATTAGAAAAAGCATAAAATTGCATCTTTTGAAATCTCCTTCGATGACACATTATCATATTCCTGCCGGGGGAAAAATTGCAATGTTAGGCTGAATATTAGGGTGAGCTTATACAGAGCCTGATCTAGTACTGAAATCAGTGGAAGTTTTCTGATTGACTTCTAAAGAGGCAGAATGTGCTGCCTTCCCAACTCCTCTCCTCTGCAAGGACTGTTTTGCAGCTTTTTGTGTAAACTCTTATCTAAAATGCATGTACCGGTTCATAAGATTATAGAGCTGGACATGGGGAAGCTACAATGTTATTATTGTTATGCTGAGAAGTACTGGTGACTGCATCAACCAGAAACTTCTTTGAATACCTTCATCTCTTAACATCACCATCAGGATGAGTAAAAGAGAAGCCTCCCAACATAGGTCATGTCTACATTATAGCAGCTGTGTCCCTGTTCACCAGGGTTAGTCCCTGGCAGGCCACCACTGCCACTACCTGTGGCAGAGCAGGTAAATATAGTGAGGGGGCCCGCCAGGAACTAAACCTGGTAGACCAGATCTGGCCTGTGGTCTGGTATTTGCCCACCCCTGCTGGAGCACCATAATGTAGCTGCTTCCTACATTGGCAGAAGGATTTTTTCCCCATTGATGTAGTTTATCTACCTCACAGAGTTCTCCTATTGACCTAGCAATGTCTGCACTGGGGTGGGGAGTGGGCACTAGTTCAAACTTATGTTCCTCCACGTGACATAAGTAAGTAGAACTAATTTTCAAGTGTCCCCCACTCTAAGACAAATGAGGTTTGGGAACCTGCCCAGGAAATTTGGAGTGAATGGAGGTGGTTTGCTGAGAATTGTTTGACAGGCTTACTGAGTGTTGCATATGAGAGGAGGGAGAACAAATGGAACAGAGAGGCAGAGGCAAAAATAGAGAAAGACAAGTAGTTAAAAAAGCTAGGGAACAGGTGATCCATAACTGAACCTCCTACTTCGTCGCAAATGGAGATAGTGGCTAAGGCAATGAAACCCATCCAAAAATTGGGGAAACTGGGTTGGAAGATTGGACTACTAAAACTGGAGCTAGAAGTCTGGGTGGCTTGAAATAGTGGCTGAGCTAATATTTGGCTTGGATTTGATGATGGCTAATAACTGTGTAATCAGTGCCACAAAAAGTGTCTAACAAATTCACTCTGTGGCTGCTCCCTTTAAAGATACAGTGCCAAGAGACAAATGGTTTGTAGGCTGTTTCTTTGCAATGAACAAATTGGCCTCCTACTCTAGCCATTCTCTCAGCTACACAATGCAGTAGCTTTTCATCTCCGGAAAGACAGGGAGTGGTTAAAATCTATTTTGAAAACCAGCATCTGAAAAAAGAACTGATCCCTGTTTGCTTGCTGAGTGATGAGGACAAACGACAAATAGCAAAACAAGGAAATGGTTCCAGTGGACAGCAGTGTGAGCTTTAGCATTGTCAGAGTTGAAAAAGGCTGTTCGGACTGCCCCTGTCTTGGTCTATCCTTGTTTCAAAATCTCTTTCATATTGGACATAGATGCTAGTGCTTCATATTTGGGTCGGGGTGGGCAGGAGAACTTCACCTTGGCTATGCTCCCACCTTCCTTTTGAATCTGAGAATGTACCTGTGGAAGTTGAGACTGGTGCTTCGTCTACATTTAATATTTAGGTCAATATACCTATAGAGTTCAAAGGTATGAGAAATTGACACCCCTGAGCACCATTGCTATGCCAACTTAACCCCTGGTTTGGATGCTTCCATTGGCCTACCTATCGTTTGGGGAAGTAGAGTTTCTATGGCAATGGAAAAACTGCATCTGACACTGTAGGAAGCATCTGCACTGTGGCACTATCGTGACATAGGTGTGCTCAGGACTGGCGCTAGACCAAATGGTGTCCCTGACAAGGAGCATATTTGGCAATCCCCCCTCCATTTGTTAAACTTTTGAATATCTTACTTTTGTTTTTGTAGCCCATTTCACCACTTGGATGCACAATCTGCATGTATGATTTATCCTAGTCATATAAGATGATGAATTTACAGGTTAGAATCTGCAAATCTATATTGATTTAGGCCATATATAACCAATGTTTTTTAAAAAATTGTTTCCACTAAGCTTATAGAATTTTTTAAATTCTAAGAATAACTGAAATGTAGTAACACAAGAAATTGAACTGTTCACCAACACTGGGTGGACCAGGATTAAATTATGTTACAGTAGGTGGCAGTCTTAGAATGTGATCCTAGCCATTTAGTTCAAAAGGTTACTTTTCTCACTGTGACCCTTACAAACTGAAGCACATCAGATAGACCCAAAGATTAGCCTATGGCATTTTCAAGCAATAAAATAGCAAGTGATGTCAGTCTCTCGTCTATTGTAGCACAAAGATAACGGTTTTAATGAGCCTGATCTTTGACGAGTTATGTTCACCACTCATAATGTGACCAGCAACACAAGCAGAATCCACAAGCTATCTACACATTAGAAAAAGTGTCCTTTAACTCTGCATCATGAATGAACTGGAGAACTCTGAATGGAGAGTGTTTCATAGGTAGCAAAAAGTGATGAATGTTGTCTAATTCAACACAGAAGTCTTTAATCATTGATATCTGAACATTCCCAACATTTCAATGTCTGTACAATTCTTCAGGGGTGTTTTCTTGCCCATCAGCAGCTACATAAACTACCTTCATTTGTCTGAACCTTTTATCAATTTGAGAATTGTCAACTAGCGACCAAAAAATCCTCCCTATTGACTTTTTCTTCCAAGTTTTCCATCACTTCATCTCTTTCCTTGTAACCAAACTGTCTCTTCTGATGAATACAAGTTCCCTTGAAGACAGGCTTGACTCCTAAGTTTTCCACCATTTCTTTAGTAGCATCACTGGAGATATTTAAGAACAGGTTGGACAGACATCTATCAGGGATGATCCAGATGGTGCTTGATCCTGCTGTGAGGGCAGGGGACTGGACTTGATGACCTCTCAAAGTCCCTTCTAGTTCTATTATTCTAAGAAAAGAAGTAATAGTATTTGTATATTGTTGCATAGATATAGGTTTGATAGATGTCTCTGATATTTCATTAAATAGGTCCTTTATTAATTGCTACTTACACTCTTCAGGTCTTAATGCACAAGTATATTTTCACAATTACACAGTAAAAAAAGGTTTGCAATATTGCACCTGGGCTCTCATTTCACTTCATTTTCTTCTTATATCTCACACATTTACTGGCAACACCCTGCCCCTTATATATTTGAGAGATCATAGCTGACAACATTTTAGGAGGTTCAAGGAACTTGTAGTTCTCAGAAAGTCTGGAAGGTTCCACAAGATTCTACAAAGGCCTAGAACATTGAGGGTATGTCTACACTAGCTCGTTAGTTCGAGCTAGGTAGGAAAATGAGGGCAACCGGGGATGCAAATGAAGCCCGGTATTTAAATATCCCGGGCTTCATTTGCATCTTCCTGGGCGCCGCCATTTTTAAATCCCCCTTAGTCCGAACTCCATGTCCGCGGCTCCACATGGAACAAGGAGTAACGGTAGTTCAAATTAGAGATCCTAATTCGAACTACCTCCTCCGTGCCGTGTGTAGCCATGGGCACGGAGTTCGGACTAAGGGGGATTTAAAAATGGCGGCGCCCAGGAAGATGCAAATGAAGCCCAGGATATTTAAATCCCAAAGAGGTTTGGGTGAGAATTAAATAAATTTGGGTCAGTGATGTGAAAACATCTCGACAGTAAAAGAGCAGACATATTTAAATAGTTAACCTTGTATTATTTTTAGTTTGATAAACTTGGTACTTAGTTTCTCTTTAGCATGGGTCATGCAGGATGTCATCATTCTGAGTACTACCAGAATTTTGGGCAGAGCTAGAACAGGAGTGTTATGCTGAAATAGACCGGTGATTGCATCACACAAAGCTCTTTGAGAAGCAAGACTTTGTATATTCCTAGTACAAACAAAACTGCATAATTGAAAATATTAGACTCCATCAATTTCTGCTTCCAACTGGAACATCTCCAGGGCCCCGAACTGTGACCTGCCACTCAGATCAAAAGGAGCAACATTATTTCTTAACCACAATCTGGAAACAGCCTGTCCCTTAGATCAGTACTGTGGGATGAGACTTTTTCATTAACAGTTTTGAGAAGCATGTCAAAACTCTATGGTTCTACTCCCACTGAAGTGAATGTAAATCTTGCCTTTAATTTCCCTGCATACAAGATCAGACCTTAAAAATTCCACCTCTCTATGTGTGTCTGTCTGTTGTTGCTTCTACTTTTCCTACAGAGAATTCACTTTCACTCCAGCTTCAGGACAACTCTCCAAGAATGAAAATGAACCTAGTCTTAAACTGAATGGTGAAGTCCATAACCCAATGATGACAAAGAGTGTAACCAAAACACTTGCTTTCCAGGTAATAATTCTTCATTTCTTGCTTTTGACAGGTGCATAAATCTCAAGGCAGGCAACATGCTTATACGAATACATTTTTAATATCACCCTTTAGTTTCATCACAATATTTTCTATAGAGAAATTGCTTTTACATTTCTTAATGATTTGTCTGCCAGAAAAAATAGCCAGACAAATAAAAAATGCATAGTTTTCAAATGTCATCTTTCTTTATGGGCAAGGAGTAAAGCAGATCTCATAAGCCTAAGCATAGCTTGTGTCCAACTACAGAGATACAGCCTGGGATGCAACGTGAAGATGTTACTAACAGTAGCTGTTGGGCCTATTTCTTTTCTCATACCAGTCTGATGTCAGTGTTACACCACTGATTTCAACACCAGTGCAACTGAGGCTATGTCTACACTACAAGGTTTTTGCCCAAAAACAAACATTTTTCGCAAAAACCGGTGGAGCATCCACACCTCAAGCGCGTTTTTGCACACACAAAAAATTGCAGTAAATCAACAGAACAGAGGGCTTTTGCTGGTAGAGTTATTCCTCTCCCCATGAGGAATAACTCCTTTTTGTGCAATAGCTCTTGCACAAAAAGGCATGTGCATGGGGTTTCTTATGCAAAAAGAGCCTATCTCAGCTTCCCACTTGGGCTGTCCCCTTGCAAACAACACCACACACTGGGTTTCTTTGGGTGCATAGGCTCTGATGTTTATGTGACCTGAGTGCATTTCTGTGCATTACACCATTAGTACATTCTATCAGTAGCTCCTTTCTTGTGACCTGTTGGAGGCCTGGAATTTGCAAGAACCCTGCACATTAGAAACAAAGGTTCTCTAAAATGTGAATCCTCAAAAGAATGTAGCTAGTAGCCAGACTGTAGAGGATATCCAGCTCAAAACCAGACCTCAGAATGTTCCTTTCAGCACCCTGAAAATAAGATGTCTTACATAGGTACAATACCATCTTGACACGACTGCTTTTGTGCTCCTCCTCCCTTCTCCCATCCACCTCAGCTCTGTGTTGAAGTCATAATTTGACCTGCAGGATGTTGCTTGCAGTGGTTCACATGTTCACTTTGAGTGGCCCTATGGAAGTTGCCACACTCAAGTTCCCTCAAAACAGAAAAGCAAGACTGCAAAACCCTGACTCAGTGTTCCCGCTGCAGTTTATTAATAGTTCTTTCTAAGGGTGTGTGTATCAAGCAAATGGAGATGTGACTGTAGCATGGGTACACACACCTATGCTAGTTTTAATCTTGCTAGCGTGGGCAATAATCATTATATAGCCATATTGGCATAGATTTCAGCTCAGACTACAAGCCCACCGGGGACCCTGAGTACATACTGACACATCTTCACTGCTATTGTCACCTGGTGCTAGCTAGATTAAAGCTTACATGGGTATGTTTTGTTGAGCTACAACCACTCTTCCACTTGTGGTGTGTGTGACGGAATTTTTGCGGGTGCGAGCTCCTCGCTCCCTCCCCCTTCAACTCCCGAGCAGGGCTGGGGAGGGGCGGGGCCCTGCGAACCCACCGTCTGGGCTTGTCTCTCCGACCCCTACCTGGGGTCCTAGGGTTGACGTCCGGGTGAGGGGGCGATCACCCCTCTGCCCCTAATGGCTGAGGGGGGTCGGCGGCCCCTCCGTCGGACCCCTCCTCCTCCTCTGACTTGAGGAAGGGGGTCGCAGTGTCGTCGCGGGGCCTGACCTTGGACCAATGTCCTCCTGCGGTCTTGGCCATGTGGGTTTAAGGTTTCAGGGGAATTGCTTGTAGGTAGCGAGGAGGGGTAAGGGGAGTGGGGGACCCGGGCCCTCC